TTATTTTTCTTATATAAACTATAATTTTACATAGAATTAAACATAGACTATGACATGTATTTATTAAGTCAAGCGTATTAAATAGGTTTATTCTTTTTCCTTTAATGAGTTTATTAAAACTGAATACTATAGGCGTGTAGATAGTTTACAAGTGTTTCTGTATGCATGTATATGCGTGTGTGTGTGCGATGTTAGAAAATGCATGTTAATAAATATATTTTTAGAAATCTATCAAATAAATAAAACATCTTTATAATTAATAACAACAGCAAATAAATATATAGGAAACTGTTGTATCATGTGATGTCTCTATACACTATCTTCTTATACACTAACCCAACTGGTTACTCTACCAAAGTGTCTAAGAGTAAGAAAGGAAGTTTACTACCTAAATTATATGTTCACTCATATATATATACATATATATATATATATATATATATATATATCCCTTATAAGATTGATCTATTATTGGTGTGTCTCACTGTTTAGAAACGAAAGCCATTTCTTAGTCAATCACGTGCACTTATCATTTGGCCGATTTCTGAGTGGCCTAATATGTCATAAACTTTGATTTTTCGATGATTTCAGATTGTTTTCTGAAAAAAAGCTAATCAAGAATTCTTACACACATATATTATTTAACTGTGTAGTGATTGCTACACCTCAGTCAATATTTCGTTGAAGTTGTAAATGAAGATCAATGACTGTTGGTGCAAAAAAATCTATCAGTTGAGCTTATTACTTATTTATTCTCCTAGAGGATTGAACGTAAATAGTTTAGATCCATAGACGAGACAAAAATTGATATAGACAGATACTACTGAATGTGAGTAAATTTCGGTGTGACCTTCAAATCTTTATCCTTCTCATTTAATGAGAATATATTTGTATAAGATTAACAATCGAGTTCTGAAACGGAGGGACTGAACTGTGTACGTCTATTAGCACAGTGATTTGGCATGATTTCTGGATACTTTAAAGTTTACAAATTAGCTTTTTAAATAATAAAACATAAATACATTGTGTTTAGGAACTCATTCACATGAATTATTATCATTTCCTTACTATATATCTTTTATATATAAAAATCAATAAAATTTCTTTGTTTGTTCTTATTTATACTAATGTATCAAAGTTAATTTTAAATGAACCAAGAAGAAAGTCATTTATTGATCCTCACCTCCAATCGTTTAAGCGCCTGAAATATCATTACGATCATGTTATACCATTCCTACTATAAAATTGGATAGTATTCTCTTCAGACGTGCTCATTAAGCGACCAACAGATGAGATTATTTTGCATTTTGCTATAAAAGAGAAAACTGACTACTTTGACTTTAATTGGATCGGGACTTCAGTAAAATTTGATTGTAAGCAATTATGTATTCCTGACCTAATTTACGATTCAATTAATACAAGGATCAGAAATTAAATAAAAAAACAAACTTTCAAACACAATGTCAAGTTATTCAGTCTACATTTCACTACTAACAAAATTTAGTCATTATTGTGGTGAATGCTACTTATGCTGACATATATAAGTAGCATGTAGCAGCAAACGGAAGTGGAATGCCTGACAGTATAAGATTGAATTGGAACGAACAGAAGGGGAAACAAAGAGCAATTGGAATAACGAAAGACCTGGAAGGATCATGACGTATATAAAAAGACAACTGAAGAAAGATGTACAAATAATGTTTTTAATGTACCGTTTTCATATTTTATGAAAGTATACTAAATATAATGATCAATTCCCTTAAAAATAACCGCATATTTTTGAAGATTAACCAATAGAAACTGCTATTAAACCATTGTTTTGATAAATTCACTCCAATGACTTCTTTTATTTAAAAAAATTTACACTTCAAAACATAAATCAACCTTAAAGTTCATTGTGTTTATGTGTAACATGTATATTACATTATTATTTCAATAATTATAAACAAAATAAATATGATGATATCCATCTTTGCTTATAAAAGCTTATGAATTAAGGCAATATCGAAGCATACCTCAATGGGAAGATGCAAGCCAAACAATACCAAGTGAATTTAAATTCACCCCATTGCACAAGCAAGTGGCTATCAGAACTCAGTAGCTGAGTGGATAATGCGATAGCGTATGAAGCGAATGGTACTGGATTGGAGTCTCAGAGTGAACATCGATTCTGAGATCCATGCACATCCGGCTGACGAGTCCCAAATGGGACGAAACGCGTGTCCTGGATTCTACTGCTAGCCACTATCCATCTTTGTTTATAAAAGCTTGTGAATTAAGGCAATATTGAGGCATACGCACAGTATGCACATATGACAATAACAGACTGATCAATTGCAGTCTTTAACCTCAATGGGAAGATACTAGCAAAACAATACCAAGGGAAAATATATATGATGATATCATACTTTTGTACCGTTTGCTTTCTTTTTGCAAAAAGAATCAATAATTAAACTATTTGCAATAAATAATAGTGCATGAGCAATAAATTCTCTTTTATTTTAGAAACATAACAACTGAATAATTGAATATTATTGTAATACAAAATACATTGATTATTATATGTCCGACTATTAAATGAATTACACAAAAGCTTTTACTTTTCATTATATTATCCGCAAAAAAAGGAATTAGTCCTTTTTGGGTGAGTGTATTAAAATCTACTGTTTAATGTATGAAGTATTGTACACTGTCATGAATGTAAATTATAATGAAACAAAATAGAATAAACAATGATTTATGTTGTTTTTTTTTTATAGAAAAAACTTTATGAGAATGATTTTTCATGAAGTATAAGAAAATAACTGTTAAGAAAGAAAACTGAATTTGAGTGTTAGTATACATGTGAGGTCTATTTATTATGAATAATTTATTAGTCTTTCTATTATTACACAATTATCGATATAATAATATACAATTTCGTCAGGAGTAATATTTCTAACGGTAGTTTGCGGATAGATCTTTTAATTGATTTCGGAACAAGAAAAACAAACAAACAACTGTGATACTAATTAACGCTTAATTTAAATACACTGCATATTTTGGAAATAATTCAGTTTGACTAAGTTAAGTCTCTATTAAATCTGAACACTGAGTGTTTTCAATCTTAATGTTTTAACAAGCTTCTAGATTCTCCAACAGCATACAAACTGGGAAACACAAACAATTCAGACAATAGAATCACATTGTACGGTTTTCCTTAATTACAGAAAGTATTTTAAAGAAATTCTGTACATGGTTAAGTGGTTTTATGCTAATTATTTGATCAAAGATGATTTTGAAACATTGTTCATATGTAATGAAACCATCGAATGAGCAATGCCGGGGTTGAACACAGACCAGGTAAAGATCAGATAATGATATTTGACTGACTGAAATGATTGAGGAATGTGTTCCTCATGCCAAGTCACCTCCTATCTTGAAGCATGTATTAACTAGGGTAAGAGTACACTGGAAGAGACCAAAGACATAGGTCATTAAACTAAACCATGTAGGTACATACAGACTACCTAGTTTGGGTTTACACGATTATAGTAGTCAATGATTGGAGTGATTGGACGTTATGGTTTAGAATCTGTTGCAATGTTGTCGGTACATTCTCTTTTCGTCCTCCTTTTTATCTTGAATTTTAATATCATTTTTTCTAGTCTTTATCAAAATGATTAATAGTACTAATTAGACTTTAAGAAAGGAAACAAGCATTAATCTAGATCCAAAATGATAAATATATCTCACCAAATTAACAAATTCCTATATAACTTTTTAATGAAGACAAACAGATAAAATACACATTAAAATGATAAATAAATGAATCACACAAAAATTTTTAATCATTATTAGCTAGGAAACGGAAGATTATTCAAAATTATATAAAAATTCGCCTAGTTACAATAAAATATGTAGTTTTAAATGCTTAGAAAATTGAGAAAAAAATCACACTTAAACTTTTAATGTAGTCTAGGATATTCACATCTATCAATACTGTTTTGTTTTTTAATGAAACAATAGACTTCTTTCGTTATTTAAATCCAGATAATATGAATATCAATATTCTATCATTAGTATAAACTACATTAGGAAAAAGAAGTTACTTAAATAATTAGTATTTTCATATTTCATACATATAACTGACTTTTTCTTCAATATATATATATATATATATATATATATATATATATATATATATATATATATATATATATATATATATATATATATAATGATTAAGTGAGACTGTTTCACATAAAGATAGTTTCTCTTGATGGCTTACTATAATATAAACTAAACCAAAAACAATCAATTCAAGTTTCCAACATATCATCCACACATAATGTTTACTGGGTTTTTTATCAAACAGAACAGAAGATAAATTGGAAAAACATACGCTCAAGTGCATGATTATTGATTATACTAATTCAACCTTCATTTACATACGATGGTTCCAAATGTACGAGACACAGAAGTACAATTTGTTACTCAATGCCAACATCTACGGAAAAACGTTTCAATGATAAAAAATAATCACTTTCAGAGTTTACATCACGAACTGATCTTAAACAAACTAGAAAACTCTGAACAATAGTTTCATCGCAGTAAAGAACAACTGATCTGTGTGTATCTATAATCATACTACGGATTGAAACTAGAACATTCAGTTAACGTCTAATGGTTTATATGTCTAACTTCATTCGATTCGCGTTACTGAATCATCTGTCAATAACACTGAGTAGTAACCACCTAACATCCAACGTGGTTAAGAAAGTACGTTTTATAATTGTCACTAAGTTAATTATTACAAATCATGCATAACAGTACTATCAATAATCGTATCTTACAATCCAAAGGAATCTCATCAAAAACAGCATTTATATTCTAAATATTAAAAAAAATTGTCTTTATATTCAAATCATTAGACAAAACACTGAAATAACAATGTTATATTATAAATCACTACACAAAAAAATAAACTATTCATTATTAATTTTTTCTTGATTGCTTACTTGACTTTGTGATATAAAACAATGCATTGCTTGTAGTACATCGGCTGCATGCAACGCTGTATGATACGGATTAAAATTGTGATAAGCTGCTTCTATAGAGCCTAAATTATTTTTTTGGAATAAAAAAGGTGAATACAAAAATGTTGAATGATAAATTGTCCTTTTCTGGATAGTTATAAATATGTATATAAGTTAAAATAAATAAGATGAAATGGGGTTGAAAGTATACTTATGCATCTTATCTAGTAGCAATACCAAAAATAATGCAAATACGGAAATTTAGTGTACATTTTATCTGTAATCAACACATTCTACAGAAAGTATCTTGAGTGCTGTTGGAGGTATGAAGGCGGTTAGAACTTCCCGGTTGCTCAAAACGTGGAAGGCTTCTTCTTGAGGTGCATAAAAAAGGAAATTCGGTTAGGATTGGTCTTAGTGACCCAAGAGCGTAACGGCAGTACCCAAGAGATAACTGCATAAGGCCGGTCACACACGACCATCTTGTGGGTAACTTTTGTGCTATCTCCGTACTTGTTGAGACCTTACCGACGGAGACGGACATCCGTGGGATAAGGTGAGGTGTATATTTTTAGGGTCAACCTTTTCTAACCTCACTCGTCCCTTGTGGAAAGGTAGTACCGCTGTTACGCTGATTTTCTGAGGGAACTCTACGTGGTATATATTTGTCTTTATATCTTTTTGTTTTAACAAGTAGCAAAATACTATGTATAATGTTATAATAACTGCAACACAGTCAGCAGATTTCCAGCAGCTTCAAGGACTAGACAAATATGCAATTGATTACTGCTCAATAAGTAGTCAATGTAAATATTCGACTTCCGTAAGTAGTCATTTAAGGCCTAAATACCCTAATGGTAGAGCTTCAAACTGGAAAAATGGATAATACCGGCTCAAATCCAACAGAGATAATTAATTTTGTCAAGCTTATAAATATGTCCTACTAAAAAATAATAACTAGAAGAAAACGTTTATCTCAACAACAATTTACAATCATCTTAAATGAATTATATTTACATAATGAGTAAATGAGACAAGTAACGTGATAAAATAATTAAAACTGATCGTTTATTATTTGCCAGACAGAAAAAATAAACTAAGCATGTTAATCAAAGGTAACTTATATGAAAAATTAAATTTGGAATTTACTTTGTCTATTTCTTTTTGTCATTATACAAGTTCAATATAAAAAAAACATCAATTAAAAGTGTTGTACTACTTTCCCAACCAAATAGAATCTCAAATATTTTATTTAGTCTTTCAAAACTATATCAGTGATCAACTCATACATAACTGTATAGAAGAATGAAGATTGTCTCAACTGAAACAAACAACAACGATGATTACAGTTTGCAAAAATTTAAATGTCAATTAAGATCATGAATCAATCAATGTTAGACCACCAGTGAAAACCTGAAAGCAAACGAAGGTCATTTCATCCTAGTATGGGACTCACCAGTGGTGCGAATACACAATCACGCACTCACAATTCGAACACAAGACTGCCAGTCTCGCACGCAAACGCTTAATCTCTACACCACACAGCCGGCATTCAACACTCCTAATGTCTAACTTCAAACAACAAACCATGTCATGCGAACATCCTACACTGTCTTCTTTCGGTAAATGAATCACACTAGACACAGTTCAACTCCACTGATAACCACCTCTCATTAGAACTAAAACAATCACCTCTCCTACTTAGTCAACAGTCAGCACATGACAGTCATCAGTGTATAGGGTTGTAGAGATTATCGAGTTTCAATTCATATCATGGATCGATCAATGTTAGATCACCATTGAAAATCATTCAAAAAAATCAAGCAATTATTCTTAATCAGTGTCAATAATTAACAGTTCTAAAAACAGACTAGACCAGTTTATGAATTATACAATGTACATAAGTTTTGATGTTTTTTTGTGACAGCTTCGAATTCTGTTTCACTTATTACTGTTTAGATAACTAGGTAATAACACTAGCTCTTATAAGAGCAGTTGTGTATCAACTAATAATCGACAAATAAATTATACCTAATCGAAATGTATTTACATACATTTAAACAATAACAATAATACCCAGCTTCTTGACATAAATACCATTGTATTTGTCAATGAATAAAATATGTTGTTTAAATATGAAATTAAACAATGAACAATTCGGTAATAATAAGAATAATAATCACAGTAATATTGTTGTCGACAACATCAAACAATAATACACTGTCAACTATACAATTGAATTAGGTTTACTATTGGGACAAATTCATTTTATTGAATATACACATTCAAAAAGTGTTCAGTGAATTTACAAGTTAAACAATGAATATGAAATAGAGATTTCATAATTATAATTTTTATCACAGCATAGATTCATTGGCATTATATGGTAAGAATGCTGAATAAACTATACGATAAAAAAGGAGGCCATTCTATTCATGAAAATTTATTATTTTTGCATTATCTGAATTAGAGAGTGATCAATGAATCAATTGAAACAAAATAACATATGAGTTTTAATGTAATTAATTAAGTATATATTGTCGACATGAAGCCTTACACTTGTGATAATGGGTGACATGAGTTCAAATTACTCAAGAAACACCAGTTTCCTCAAGATTGAAGATATGCTTTATTAATGGGTGCCAAGTAGCATAAAATCTTAGTCCCTAGAATCCTGTCAACTGCTTTCGACTACATAACATGCAGAAAACGTCAAGTTATTTAACCTAATAACTACATTGTCACTTGATCGATATAATTCGCTAAGCAGTAATGACTATACATACATATATAGGAATAATTAATAAATAATCAATGCTATATATTATTTTTTCAGATTTTCTCAAATAGTGCTCAATTTAAGGAGTCCTGTACTAGAACTAAATGGCTATCCAGTGCTTCCAGGTTTTGAATGGTATTCTAGTTTAGATCAACTCGCTAATTCAACATATAACTCAGCAACGAGACTCAGATTTTTATAGTCAACTTTGACTAACTTTTAAATAAAAAACAATCATACTATTCGATGACTAACTATAGAGAAATAATTTAAATTTGATCTAAATGTACAACCTCAGTACTTGAAATTCGGACGCTTTCAACTTAAAATAATCATGATAGTGAAAGGGAATGCTTTTAGGCGAATAATAATAAGTTAATCAAGTTTGAACAAAGAAAATTTCCATCAACTACTAGAAAACAATATTCTCTTTTCATAACAAACACATTTTAACCACTTATACTGTAGTGTAAAACTTTTGAGAAAGTAATTATTTTTAAAACTTTTAACAGTTCCATCAAGTGGATAATTTCACTGAATAATAAGATTATTCCTAGTAAATCATTTGGAAGTTGATGAATCTATAAACCTTGAATACTTAACCTAAGCATAACTAATCTAACATAGCTGTTATTATTTTCAATTTCAATCATTTCATTTTTGAAATATTTCGTTTGTTTTTATTTTTGTTTTTTTTTGTAGAAAAAAAAAGAAAACTAATATATCATAATCATATTAAAATTTTTGTTTTATTCAGCTGATATTTGGAAATCTTGTCAAATGAAAACTACAAAAATTAAAAAGGTGAAAAATGTAAACATTAAAAATATTGAAAAGTTTAAGAAAACCATTGTATATATATATATATATATATATATATATATATATATATATATATTTGTTGGCACACTGACAGTTTTGGTCAACAACACACATGCGCCTATACATACAAACATAAAAAATAGTAAGTTATACATTATTTTATCTTTTGCATTCTAATCGTGCTTACACTTTTTTTTATTTCTTTTTTATTTAGTAAAGATATTCATTCGGCTTATAGAAACATTCCTTGAAATGACCTAGATAAACTACAATTTATTTCAACTGGCATTTGTTTTTGGGTCAAATAGAATTGTGCATGAATGAGAGATGAAGAAAAGAGGGTAAAGGAAGAACAAACCATATGATATATATTTATCTAACATAGTTAGAAGTTAAGTATAATTTACTAATAATGAAATGATGTCATCTTTAAAGAAAATAATGCAAAAACAAAGTAATAAAATAATCTTAATACATTTTCTTTCTCAGATTTTCTTTCATTAAAAATGTGTTCTTCTTTGACATACATACAAACACGCACATTTGTTTATTTGCAGAGAATAAGAATAATACGATAAAAAATGGAAAAGAAGAGAAGACTGAAAGGAATCTATTAGTTAAGTCAATTTCGTGAAATACCCGCAAGGTATATTATATATATATATATATATATATATATATATATATATAACTTTTATTATTAATTGCCTTGACTAAATTAAGTTAGAAATCATGGATACTACGCCAATATAACTGATTGTGTATGTATATATGAGCGCTGAAGACTATAAGAAGGAGTTATTTAAGCGTAAGCATTAGAATCTATTAGCAACGCCCAATACATCAAATAAAAGTTTGAGAGGATATAAATGAGAAATCCATTTACACTATTTCCTAAAAACATTGAGTGATTGTAAATAACTGGTAATGGATGATAATAATAGATTAGAGGATATTGAAGCAAAGAATAACGGCATAGATCTAATATAATTCGTGTATACTATGAGGATATTCCTTTCTTTAGATCATTTCATTGCTTAGTATTAAACATTCAGAAAATGTCATTCGAGAAACTAGCGTTTCAATTTCAGTGAATGAATAATTTCATAGTTTTTCTTTACATAGATCATGATCATTTAAATGACAGTTGTGAACAAGTTTTTTCTATAAACACATTTTAATTTCTACAATTCCCATCAGAGCCTATTTAAACCTAAACCATTTAATGCTAACAGATAATTTTCTATTATCATTGACAACTTAAACAAACATTGAACTAAATTTTCCTTCAAATAAATAACTAGAATAAATAAGATAGAATGTAAGATCACATTTTCAGAAGTTTGACCAATTCTTTTTGAACAATAACGAGGAAAAAGTGACTATCGAATCCTTGCTAACTTTAATTACATAAAAATAATCTGATCATTGATAGAAAACCATATTAATTTTCAGAAGAAAATCATGCTTGATTAATGGTCAGAAAATCAATAAATCATCCGTATTCACATTTGGTTGGTTGATTGATTGATTGATTGATAAACAAGTAATTGACAGTACCATAAAGTGTTGAAAAAATTCCATCAAAGACATCAGAATTTGTAGTTCGGTTTATATTTGACCTGTGGTTTAATTTTTTTTCGAATGTGGAAATGATTGAAATTCATTGGGAAATTATTCAAAATTGTTCAAGTATCTTGTTTTAGTCTGGGACTCTTCAGAAATGACCAATAGTCTACTAAAACTGGCTTAAACCCACAACCATGAGGCCGCTCAGTGAGTCAAATTTCACAATGTCCAACAACTTACTACTTTAATCAATTTTAAAAACAACACAAAGCTCATACAATATCCTCGGAGAACTATTATTTCATTTGTGACTGGCTTAAATCTGTAAGCCACACCCATCTCGAATCAAGTCAATTGTGTGTATACATATTCATTATTTAGTCAGGTTAACATCATAATTTGAAAAAGAAACGTTTTTTATATTTTTGATGCACATTCCATAACCATAATCATTCCATCAACCTTTACATAATAGGCCATTATGTATTGCTTATTTGGTTGTTTTCTATGTAGAATTTTGTCTAAATTATTTCATGCCGCTAATTAATGTAGTGACTAAGTCGAACATATACTTATCATGTTTAACTATCTGAGTTTAATTATGTGTACAATACTTCTAACCCTAAATTTATCGATTCCACATAATGAATACAAGTTGTAGTAAGTGAGATCAAATTAAATATCTACTCAGATGGGTCACTAATTGAATTATTGTCACTGAGCCCGGACATTCACTGACAAACCTTAGCATTACTTACATATTGTTGCCACTGGAGACATACAATTCTTAGAAGACAATGATGACGGAACATGGTGAATTGAAAAACATCCTTACTTTTAAGGGGCCATATTTCCGAATCATACGGCAGAATTGTAGCCATGAATGTATTGTATGCCCGACCTTTTACGACCAGGTTAGAATAATGACAACAAAAAACAAATGGCCTGAATTGGGCTAAGCAGCTATGATTTCATCCGCCACACCATCAAAAGAATTAAAACAACTACCGTGATACACGAACCTTATGACTACTTTCGACGATTTACAACAAAGAGTGAGCATGGACGCATAGCAGTTTTGCAGAAGCAATCCGCAAGTCAAATGCGCTATTTAAATACCAAACCAACAGACACTATCTTCCAACTGTTCAAGTACAATTTAGGTTACTTGCATATCATGGCACAGTAAGACAATGTCATCCCTATACTCAAGGTCAAAAGGTCTTCTTCCGGGTAACAGATATATACCACTACCACGAAGTATTCCCTTCAAAGCCGTTTCTACAAAGTTATTCATAGTAAAACTTAAAATCACCCACTCCCTAGCACTATTTGAAATATAACAAAATTGTAGCTGCAGACTATCATATTATCAGCTTAAACAGATTAATTAAAATTCAATTCTCAATATCAGCAACAAATAAATATTAACACCAATAATAGATATAATAATTCTGATTGAGCTAATGAATCGATCAATGTTAGACCACCATTGAAAATCTGGAAGTGCTGGATGGCCGCTCCGTCCTAGTGTGGGACTCCTTAGCAGTGCGTATCCACGATAACACACGCAGGATTTGGACCATTGAGTCACCAGCGAGTCTAGAGGTTAAGCGTTTGCGCACGAAACTGAAAATCCTGGGTTCGAATCCCCTATGTGGCATCGTGGGTGTGCTCCGCTGAGTCCCACACTAGAACGAGACGATCATCCAGTGCTTCCAGGTTTTCAGTAGTGGTCTAACATTGATCAATTTATGATCTCAACATTCTCCAAAACCCTATACTCATAATAATTCTCATAAACAATTCGAAAAATCATGAACACAAATACATATCCACTTACTGAATATTCTAGCCATCATGAAATAGTCCAATTTTAATTTATGAAATAAATCATATTCATTCATTATTTGTAAACCAATATCACGAATGGTATAGTCTGAAATTATAATTTTATCGTTAAAAAAAGAAAGAAAAAAGAGGAACATGATTAAGGACAAATTGCGATAAAATGAAACTGATGAATGTTAGGAATAATAGAAAATCAACAATATGACTATTCATAATTGATGTATGCAACATGAAGTCGCTGACATTGGAAAGAAAAAAATCAGACACATAATAGAGAGTACTTAGACAGGATGAATAAGTGAGAATGAAAAATAGTTATTTTTTAATATAATATTTATTTAGTGTGTAATTTAGTAGACAATTAGTGAATGTGATTTTGTGCATTTCCTAATTGCAAGATGTTATTTGACTGATCAACTATTTTCATATGTTTTTTCTGTTCTCAGATTAATTATAAGCATATTTTATACTTCTAAATGAAGTATAAGTATATTTTTGTAGTTAGTGTTTTTTTAGCGAGTTAGTATTCTATGGGGTGTGGTCACTAACCCCATGCCCAACCTTCCTCCTTTATCCGGGTTCGGGACCGTCAATAGCCTCAGAGGAGCCCCACGCGGATCGGCAAAGCAAGAGCAGCATATCTAAAATTGAAGAAAATCTGGAACTCAAAACAAATGTCAACCAACACCAAAGTCTGAATTTTCAATACAAATGTCAACACAGTTCTATTGTATGGGGCAGAAACCTGGAGAACTACGAAAGCCATCATCCAGATTAACAGCTGTCTGCGCAAAATACTTCGGATCCGTTGGTCAGACACTATCAGCAACAACCTACTGTGGGAGGGAACAAACCAGATCTCAGCGGAGGAAGAAATCAGGAAGAAACGCTGGAAGTCGATAGGAAACAAATTGAAGAAAGCACCCAACTGTGTCACATGACAAGCCCTCACTTGCAGTCCTCAAGACAAAAGGAGGAGAGGAAGACAAAAGAACACATTACGCCGAGAAATGAAGACAGACATGAGAAGAATAACAACAACTGAATAGAACTAGAAAGGAAGGCCCGGGACAGGGTGGGTTGGAGAATGCTGGTCGATGGCCTATGCTCCTTTAGGAGTAACAAGCCTAAGTATTTTACACATTTTGAACGTTTGATAGATTTAAACACAACGAGACGAATAAGATGGATACAATAACATGAAATCATTAAATTTCAAGGTATCCAAGAGTTTTTCTAAACATATTACTTAAAACTTTGTCTGAAGAAAGTATAACGTTCATAAGTGCAATCATTAGATATCTACTAGATAATGGACTCAAAGTGGATATCACAAAGGCGTATAAAACAAATAATAAACAGGGAACACCGCTTTTACTGTTCATTTCAAAGCTTATTGTCATGAAATGCTTTCAACCTAACCTTTGTCTACAGAAAAAGAGTGTGGTAAACCTTCTGTTGTAATGGTGGAGAATTATATTGTTTTAACGTTTGTCTATTACTTAATCTTTTTTTATTGCATTGTATATTTTGAAAAGTTCAATTAGCATTCAATCACAATGTTTGAATTTCATATAAACTAAAATGTGTTGTTAAAAACCATTTGGTTTTCAGTCTGTTAATTATCATTTACAACACCATCCCTTTTCTTAAATAACTTTAAATTGAATAGTATAAGTACTAATTAATTTTAACTGTTACGTTCAATATAGTATTATCTCTTCTCGTTTCCAATGTTTTTTTGTGTAGCTTCAAACTAAGCTTCATTGGATGTTAAATTTTTTTTATTAACAATGTAACTAACGCTAATTTCAAACTGTTTACAGTGGATGAGTCAATGTTAACCTATTCTTCTCATATTTTGTAGCTTATCATTCTGATTTTAAATCTTTATCAACCTAGTGTGGTGTTTGTTGTAATTTCGTATTAATGATACGTTGTAGCTTTGTAATTTATGCATTTTATTCATGTGAATTTTTTTTCAAGTCACATATACATAGATTACTTTGATTAGTTTTATTCCGCTCTTTTGGCTGTAACCTATAAACAATGATTTCTGAATAGGTCAACAAGGTTAATCTGTCAAGTTATCTAATTGTAGGATTAAGAGCATTGGTCAAACCATTAGCAGCCTGAAAGGTCATATTAAGATATATATGTTCAATCGATGATATAGACTATTTTTGATTGTCATCAGTAAAACCATTGGTTCTTTTAAGAGTTCGTTTAATAATTTTGATTTGTTAACAGATTGATTTATGTTAAGCAACACAAGTTCACCATGAAATTATAATAATCAGTTTATATAGTTAAAAGTTCAATCATTTGTTGTTTAAATAGAAAAAAATACTTTGATAAATAAAAGTTATATTTATTTTACTTATCATGATCTATGCTCAATTTATATGTTGATAAATAATGATGATTGTGGGACTCATTAAAGCTCATCACGAGACAAGCCCTAACTTGGAATCCTGAAGGCAAACAGAGAAGAGGAAGATCAAAGAACACACTGAGCCGAGAATCAGAAGTAGACATGAAAAGAATGAATAGCCACTGGTAAGGATTTCCCGGGACGGAGTTCGATAAAGAATGCTGGTAGGTGGCCTATGCTCCTCCACGAAAGGTAACAGGTGTAATTGATATATAAGTAAGCGATCAATGATACACAACAGTTCATAACTTATAGTGTTATTTGATATTATTTCGAAATAAACTGTATTTTAAAAATTAACTTCACTAATAGCAAATTAAGTAGCTTAAAAACTTGTTCATACACAGCTACAATTTAGTCAAATAATTTATCATTTACCCAACTAATACTGTAGGCTAAAAAACCTTAAAAGTATTTGAATTCAATAAAGATAAGTCAATTTTCTATTCCTATAAATAATGGTCATTTAAATGTGTGCACTAAACAAATTAGATGAACGAATATAAATTATTGTAAATTATTCCATACCATTTTCTATAATTTCATTTGGAGTCTATTAAAAAACATCGCTGAAATAAACTCATTGTTAACATATCTCAATGAATCTATTCATTATCTATCTATCATTTCAAGAAATAACAACTCCATATACACAATAATGATTTCATATGGATTAACTCATAAATTCAGCCGGTATTATCACAGTTGAATTCACGAGTCGATTCAAGCTAGATCACCATTAAAAACTCGGAAGCACTCGATGGCCATTTCGTCCTAGCATGGGACTACTCGACAGTGTACATCCACGATGCAGCATGCGGTACTCAAACCGAGGATGTTCGGTCTCCACTGTGATGGCATCCAACGGTGTTAATGTCTAACTTCAAATAATTCATGATCTTGCTCAACCTTTCATCCATTGTCTGTGGTGGATAACTGCCTCACATACAACACGGTTCAATTCTACTGGTCACGGCTTCTCACTAGAACTCCAGAAATTTCATCTTGAAGTTAGTCAATAATGAGCACATAATCATTATCAGTGTCACGATTTGTGAAAACTGTGGTATTTTCACATTAGAATCCGAAGAGTTGATCTATGATAATACTACAATCGCCATAAATTCTCATATAGTCTATATTACTTAAGTTCACAGTTTATGATTACATTAGAAAATCATTTCTTAAAATTTCTGAAATAAAATAATTTTTACATTGATTATGTAATCTATTATTAATTGTTAAAAAGAAAAACAACAAACTAACAACGCGACAATAAAAAAAATAAAATGAAACAGCCATATAATTATTTCTACTAGATAACAAGAATATAGAAAAACAATCTTAGTGATTAATTTATAGTTACATGATGACAACAATAACAAAACATACAAAACTATATAAAACTTACTAGAAGTTATTCGTTTTAAATGAAAAATGTTAAAATCCCAATTATTTAAATTTTTAATCTGTAAAATAAAACAAAAAAATAAATAGGGAAAATGAAGTTCCACAAAACAAACAAAAAAAACAACGTTATTTTTAAAAATAGAAAAAAGATGAAAAGGAAGAAAACTTTTCTTACATCAATTTTAATCGTATATAATTAATTATAAATGAACTATTTTATGTGAAGATGACAAAAAAATAATATGAAAATAATTTTCAACATAAAATGATATTACTGAAATGGCTGTTTGAAATTAAAGGGTAATGATTAGATATTACGTCATCAGTTTAATATTCCTTAGTATTGCAGATGCTAGAAAATATACGGGCTCAAATATACAATGTTCAGTTTTTCTGACATCCACAAGAGATTCGATTACAGAACTGTGATTTATTCTACCACATATTTCAACTTACATTAAGTCAATATATAATACTATTATTTTCAAGCATGGTTGATTGTAAACCGTTTTTCTCTTCAATAGCTTGATTGCAACAAACCATGGCTTTCGTTTCAGATGCAGGAATAGCCATTACTAGTGTATATAGAATTGTTATTTTGATATATGTCTTATACAGATTTCTATAAATTTGTATTTTCTGAACTGTGTGAGAATGGAGAATATCGGATATCGAATTTTGACCTAAGGTTTAAACGTTACTGTACTCATCATCCAACTTCAATAGTCACAATTACTAAGTACTGCACAATTTTAAACCAACAGAAAACATCTGACAATATTCCTTTGTTTACTGCAATTTTACTGTCAATATCAATAAGTAATAAGAAAAAACCTAAAATTACTTAGATTTATCTACAACTGATTTGTCCTCAGTTAGCATAAACCTTACTTAATTGTTTAGAAAAAAATTTTCATTACATTTTTGGATAAGCATGAATAATTATCAGTATAGTGTTGTGAAGATTGTTGAGTTCCATTGAAACTATGAACCGACCAATGTAGGACCATCATTTGAAATCTGGAAGCACTAGACGGGCATTTCATCCTAGTACGAGTACCCTCATTCATGTGCATCAACAACCCCGCACTCTGTGTTAGGTGAAGGTAGTTATCCTCAGAAGACAATGGAAGATGGCTGCGCAATAACGTGGTTTGATTGAGGTCAAACATTAACACAATTTGGATCTGGCTCAATGGTTTAGAGGTTAGGCGTTCACGCACAAGACCGAATGTTCAGGATTTCATTCCCAGATGAGAGGTTGTGGACAGGCACTGCTGAGGAGTTCTATACTAAAATAAATTGACCGTCTAGTGATTTAAGGTTTTCTATGTCAATCGAACATTTATCGGTTGATGATTTCAATGAAATTTGAACAATATTGAGACGCATTGAAATCCTGGAAATTTATCAAGTGGACAAGCTATACGCTAACTAAAGCCCTCATAATACTTTAAATAGACATGTGTGTAAATGATGATAATTTATGTGTAATATACTTCGATTCACACGTTTGAAATTGGTAAACAAAAGCCATTTAACTAATCTCTGAGATTGTTAGAATTCATTGGATATATATATATATATATATATATATATATATATATATATATATAAAGAGTGAGAGAGAGTAGCTCATATTGTTTTACCTAAACCATCTTACATGGTCTAATGACCATGTCTTGATGGAATTTTGTCAGAGTTAAGTAAGTGAACAGTTATTACCTTATTTACTTTTACCTACCTGGTGTTAACATATGTTACAGTTAAATTTTGGGATGTATTTATTTATTCTACATGTAATTCTAACAAATTTTTTTAATTAATATGTAGTGTCAATAGTTTTTTTCATTGAGATTATGAACCGATTAATGTTGGACCACCAGTGAAAACCTGAAAGCACACGAAGGTCATTTCATCCTAGTATGGGACTCACCAGTGGTGCGAATACACAATCACGCACTCACAATTCGAACACAAGACTGCCAGTCTCGCACGCAAACGCTTAATCTCTACACCACACAGCCGGCATTCAACACTCCTAATGTCTAACTTCAAACAACAAACCATGTCATGCGAACATCCTACACTGTCTTCTTTCGGTAAATGAATCACACTAGACACAGTTCAACTCCACTGATAACCACCTCTCATTAGAACTAAAACAATCACCTCTCCTACTTAGTCAACAGTCAGCACATGACAATCATCAGTGTATAGGGTTGTAGAGATTATCGAGTTTCAATTCATATCATGGATCGATCAATGTTAGATCACCATTGAAAATCATTCAAAAAAATCAAGCAATTATTCTTAATCAGTGTCAATAATTAACAGTTCTAAAAACAGACTAGACCAGTTTATGAATTATACAATGTACATAAGTTTTGATGTTTTTTTGTGACAGCTTCGAATTCTGTTTCACTTATTACTGTTTAGATAACTAGGTAATAACACTAGCTCTTATAAGAGCAGTTGTGTCTCAAAAATTGATTATATCAATGCTAGGACGAAACGGCCATCCAGTACTTCCAGGTTTTCAATGATGGTCCATGTTAGATCGACTCATGAATTCAACTAATAAAAATGTCTACAATCTTCACCAACCCACCTTCTGAAAATAAAAAATTTATCTGAAATAGCAGATAAATAAATAGACAATCACTCGATATCACTATTCCAAGGGTTTTTCCACCAAGCTATGCAGTATAACCTATGATAATTAAGCGTTAATAGTGATAATATTATTCTACTGTATACGAAACGAATTACAAACCACTTATGAATAAATTGCTGAGAATAAAACATTTGCACTGATAAAGTATGTAGTTATATGAATAGTAAATAGAGCTGTCATTGGTAATAGTTGATCGTTTTTGACTTCCCGATTTACATAAGAAACAGGATAAAACTATTAACCTCTATGATATTTATGGTAATATTTTTTATGAAACTTTATGACATTGTGTTTGATTCATGTGTTACAGAGATTCTTAATAGTTAAAGAAACGAATGATTGGTTCTTTATTTTTAGTATTGTTATGATAAATAGATGGTGTCTGAAAATTATTGTCATGACCTGGATAGTTCAGTGGTAACGTCTTAGATTGTCATACTAGGAAGCTCACGTTTTAATCTATGAAGAAACAGCAGTTCACTCAAGATGACATGAACATCTTGTTGGTCAGTATTGGCCAGCATGAGACCTAGGTTTATGATTTCCCGATGACTATCTTTAATACGTAGCATTTAGAAATAGTTCACCCGACATCCAGTCACTTAGGTTAGCGACCGAAAGGCAACTTAATATATAGAAATATACTTTATCTGATCCGGTATTGTGTAAACATTGCTCCGTTTAAACAATAAAAACTCTGATTATTACCACTGTAAAATTATGAACTTTAAAAAAATATACTAAACAATTTAGTGTTCATGAAAAATTATTTGACTGAATTATTGTCAGGCATTTATTGTAAACTAATATTTTCTTAACACAGTATATTCGCTCGACCTGAATCCGGATACCTAGTACGATGCAATTCCTTGGTGAAATGTAGGCTTGTCTCTATACCGAGTATCACTGAGCATAAAATTTTTAGAATAATGAAAAATCACTTATGAGGTAAATTTAAACTTAATTATACTATGTCGACTGTATTATTTTTCGACAGAACAATAAGAAGACGGAGTTTGTCAAAAAATGTGATGTATTTGCCACATATATTTTGAGCAAAAGCGCAAATGCATAATTTTTTTAGATAAACTCCGTCTTCTCATTGTTCTGTTAAAATTTATAAAAGGGACTTTACTTTGTTTTTACCACTGTTACGCGATAAGAAAAATTAAAATCGGTGATATAATTCTTACTCTATAGATGGTTGAACTCTACCAGTTCCAGTCTTTCACTAAAATTGTAAAATATCAACCAATAAATCTAGTCACGAGTGAGCACGTGACTACTGTTTGGTTGAGCGGGCTAAAAACATTTGTGCGCAATGATAAAGTATCACAAACTACAACAAGCAAGCTATTCAGCGATCCAACGGTCCTTCAACTAATATCAGTCTATTACAAAATTTAATTTCAATATTTAACCAATCTTTAAGAATAGCCCAACTAAATTATGAACATTTAATTTCATCATATCCGTAACATTCATACCTTTACATGTCCAACTGGATGATCTATAAAACTAAGGTGAATTTTATCGACCATTCTTTCAGGTGTTTGTGATTTCTTTACGTCTTCTTTTGAAGTAGCAAGGTTGTACATATTCTTTGAATTTTATCTTCATACAAATAAAATAATTGTATTGTCCCAGCCATTTGTTCACTTTGTTGACAAGCGAATGAATTAAATGAATTTGATCGATATCGAACACGTCTACATGATGAATTTTTGGTTCTTTGTAAATCTGAATTTCAAGGAGTAAAAAAGAGTTATTTGGATTAGAAATTTGACCATGATGACAATGATGATATAAAAAAGTAAAGGAATAAAAAAAGTTGACAATACTTCGAATTTACTGCAAAATGAACGTAAAATTTGTTTGGATGTTAAGTGGTTGAAATTAATCGACACAGATCTCTGGATCTAGGTTTTGTGCTAGGCGGCACTGTTACCGGCAAAGTTTACCTTTAATCATGAGGGAAGTGATGTTTATAGTTAGAGAGGCTATTAATGAACTCTTAGGGTCAAGACTGACATAGTTACACAACTTTTAATTATAGTCGGTCGACTTGCTAACGGACCCATGCAAGTGATCAAGATTTGGCTTCACATTCTAAAGGAATATACGTACACTGTTGATTAAACGTGACCTTATTTTCTGTGAGAAGTGTATCTATAGTCATAAATGAATTTCACATGTATTTTTGATTCAGTTAACCAATAAAAGCTTCATACTTATTCACGGTCTTCCGACTCAAGCAGCTGGTCGAAGCATACAAATAGGAAGTGTACATATCAGTAACAGACCCGGACATTCTCATAGCCGAAGAAAATAAGGATGCTAACGGCAAACCAGGAAATACCAGTTTTGTGTTGAGTATTCAATAGCCACTACATAAAAAGTAAATATATAGTTTAACTGTCGTTTACTTTTTTAAATGATGGTTATCCTTCCGTGAATGGCAGAAGCGGTTAATAGCATGACAACGGTGTTATCGGACGTTAATAAGCACGAATTCAGGATCGAGGTAATTACGGTTGTTTTCCTCGATTATCTAAGGTTTTACAATTTACCTCATAAAATTCAATCACTCTATAAAAAATTGTTACTGGGATCAATTCGTAACGAATAAGTCACAACGATTATTGTATGATCCATCAAACTGATTTGTTTCTTTTTTTAACTAATCAGAGCTTGAGAATGTCTCTAGATGATCGTATAATTTCGTAAGCTAACCGTGTATATACTGAAATTTTCCTACGTGACTCTTACATAAACGCTTATATATGTATTGATAAACACTTTTTCCGGCTACTGCCCTGTGTTAAAATTATTCCTTGTTCACAACTTCATTCAATAGAACTAAAGTGAACCAATTGAAAATAAGTTATAAACAGACAAATATGTTGTTTGTGTTCACATTGCTTCATTTATATTTTTGGAAATCAAATAACCAAAACTGGAATTTTCACCATTCAATTAGATAATTGTGGACAACTAAAAATATTGCATAATTGTAAGCAGGGATGGATGGTGACTAGCAGTGAAATCCAAGATGCACGTTTCTTCATGTTGGAGAATCGTCAACCATATGTACCTTCGCCTCAGAGTTGATATTCACTCGGGGACTCAAACCCAGTACCTTTCACTTTAAAAACCATCGCTAACGCTACTGGGTTTGAGTCCCAGAGTGAACATCAAGTTTGGGATGCAGGTACATCTGGCTGACGAGTCACCAACAGGAAGAGACGCGCATCCTGGATTCCATTGATAGCAACCATCCATCTCTACTTATAATACTTGTGACTTATGGCAATAACAAGGCAATCTGTGCAGGATGCACATATACCAATAAAAGATTGATCATTTGCAATCCTAAGCATCAATGGGAAGACTCAAACAACCAAGCAAAAATTACTACATAACTGTGCATATATTCACTGATTAGAAGCTAAAACCCGTTGTTTGATTTTTATCAAAAATAACCTCTTAAATAATATAATACTGGACATTTATTGACCAGTAAACAATAATAACTTTGCACAGATGATATCAACAAGCCTATACAAATGTAATGACCGAAAAACAATCAAAATTTTATGTGAACCATCCATTATCTAGCTCAAGAATAATCGAATTTATGAACACAAACACATACATTCATTGATAACGTATTCAAACACTTTATGCTTACATCTCTCATGTTATCATTAAACGCACTAAATTGACTGGTATAGTATTTATCAGTGTTGGGTTATGGAGATTGTTAAGTTTTTGATCGAACAATGAGTGTATGATTGAGCAGGTAAAGGATTAATAGACTGATTAGTTGGATATGAGTTAGTATAAGACATGGTAAAAAATAAGAAAGCCAGTTCAGTAAATTTGAAACTTGGTAGTTGGAAAATCAAAGAGTTTTTCATAATCTGTCATAAATTATTCATTTGTACGAATATTCGTCAATATTAGAACGAGTAATTTGACAGAAATTAGGCGCCGCGTATAGAGAAGATATTATATGTTAAAATTATATTTGAAATAATCTCAGCGATTGAAATATAAATCATTTCAACGTTTCGTCCAAAAAACGTGCCTGTTCTTCGGGATAACAATCAAAATCAATTATTTCAAATATAATTTTTATATAAATGATTTATTGCGTACATCAGTCGTTAAAAATAAAAGTATAGAAACTGAGAAAAAATAAGTGGAACTATATCATCATGTTATTATGGCTCTTCCTATTTCGTTGAATTTTTGAAGGAAGATTGTCAGTATAGGGTTGTGGAGATTTGAGTTTAGATTGATATCGTAAATAGGTCATCAATGGCTTGGCCGTCTAAATGTTAGGTGTTCGCGCGCGAGGCCGAAGGTTCTGGGTTCGAGTCCTGTGTGGGAGTAGTGGGTACGCACTGCTGAGGAGTTCCATACTGGGACAAAGTGGCCGTCGAGTGCTTCCAGGCTTTTAATGGTGGTCTAACATTCAACCATTCATGATATCAATCTAAAGGAAAATTGTTTGAGTCACAAAATTGTTATGAAATCGAAAATCATCATAAAATTTAGATGACGGGATAAACTAGTTTCTTTAAGATCTTTGAGAATAAATTCCAACGTCTACATTTGATTTGATTAATTAAATCACGTTTATTAGTGTTATAAAAGTTTTATGAAAATTGTTCAATTTGATAGTGATTTATAGTATAAACTGTAGCCAGACAACCATTAGCAGAGAAGAAGATATGGTTAATTCTATCGTCCTGGCCACATAAAGTGTACTTAACCTTTAAAGTTTTCGACCATTATTTCATCTCTGTGATTTATAATGACTAAAAGTCTTGAGTTTGATTCATGATTGGAGGTTTTTATCGTAGGATAAAGTAACTCTCTTGCTCTCAAAAGTCTTCTAGCAAAATCCAGTCCTTTAATTGTGGACCATATGTAAATAATTAATAGTTAAAAACTTTTTTCTTACGCGTTACACATCTTTTAATGTTTCCATACTTCACTGCAAATTAATATCGTGAGTTTATTTTAAGTGAGAGTAACAGGTTATCAAAGTCAAAGCGTTTTTATCTCAATCACAACATTATACAAAGTTGCTAAACAGTGCAGAGAAAATAAGATTAACTTGAATGTATAATTTTATTAGATCCAATGTAACTTCAAAGTAAGCACAAACCGTTCTTCAAATCAAAATACGTGCATTCAGTTTACGCTTATCTAAAGAGTGAAATGATGAATTGATGTTTATCCACCAAGTAACAAGTTCCAAACCACATATTACTTATACTATATCAAAGAACTGGGTAGTATGACTAAACATCATGTTAAAAGTTTAGCGGGAAAACGGATGTGTGCAAATCTGGAACAAACTTTGTTCTGAATAGTCCAATTGCTGACGAAACAGCAGTTAAATACGCACTGAACCTATAACCTGTTAAATTTTCATTTTAAAGTTTTTTATAAAATGAGTAGTCATGAAAAAATTAGATCTTAATATAGTCTACTTTCTCAAACTACAACTCAGTGAATGGACTATAGGGGACATTGTCGAAAAAAGAGGAAAAGATACAGATAACATTAGAAAAATGTCGAAAGAGGAGACTTCTACAGCGTACAAACAACAAAGAATTGAAGGCATAGGACAACAGAGTAGGAAACGTTTAGAACTATTCAAGTATTGGACATATTTAAACTACTCCAACTGATTCTCAATCACATACTTCCAAAAAATAATTCCAGTTTCCTTTTCATGAGCCCTTGGCCAAGAATTCCATATTTCTTTTTAAAAAATGAAAGGATCAATAGCTAAGCAACTTTATAAATGAATATGAAATATTTTAATCTGAGCGTTTTTGAAATGTCTACAACCTTCTTTTACTCTAAAGGGCATATTATAACTAATCATGTATTACATCTACTCTAACCAATAAGATCGATAATTAATTTGTCTTCATTTACTTACTATCCAATAACTAACATTAAAATTCGTTATTTGTTAGTTCTATCAAATGAATGTGACAATTTGAAAGTATTTATCATCAAAGAATTGTAAGAGAATGATGTGTAACTAGTGAAAGTAAATTTGATTGGCCACTAAGAGTAAACTAACAAGCATAGCTTACTAACAATTCAATTTGTGATTTTTTTATTACTATTGATTTCTACAATAGACTCAGTAAGTATAGCCTGCTTGTAATTGTAATGAATAAAGTATTGTCTTGTTTATACTCTGGTTCTCTATATTTGATCATATATTTGAATCATATATCAGTTTTACGTGATCTAGTCTGATTGAGTATCTTTATGGTAATATAAATGTTAGTATTTTCACATTATTGTAGTATAGTGTGGCAGATAGAAAATAATTTCTATGTTGTTGTAATGTCAGAAAATTAGAATTCATGTCATCCATTCTAATAAATAATGTATCATAGATACTATGTTACACATAAAACTTCTGTAACAAAAATAATATTGTAAACAAAAGTATAAGTTGAACTAAATAAATTAATTTGTACACTTTTCTTGTCAAATATATCAAACAAGATACATACCTTATTATAATTATAATTAGTCTACATTTAAATCAAGACAATACATTGAAATTTACTTCCTTTAAACTTGTATTACATCATTTAGCATATATATATGTATGTAATCTCTCTTGCTTTACTCTCACTTATCTAATACTTTATATGTATTGTAATTTGTCTGCAAAAAAGAAAAAAGCTCATCAA